TCAAATCCTAAATCAATATTAAAAAATATGTTTGAAGGAAATTCTGTCATGATAACCTTTTCATGAGTTTGTGGGACTGTCCCTGACAAGAACAGCTGATGATTTTTATCATCTGGACTTCAAAATAAAATTAATATAGTAATAAATCTCCCAACAACTTCTTGAACAAAGGGGAATAGTGACCGAGAATATTAATCTTTCTTTGAGCAATTACATCATCAAAAATAAAAGYTGGCAATTCAAGAAACAAATACAAGAAAATCCTTTCGTTTTCCATAATAACTGAAGAAAGCAATGAGATGTGTGTACACAACCCATCATCAGTTAAATTCCTGAGGAGAGATAAAGAAGAGGAAAGAAGGTAAATGTTCTGTGGTGGATGGTTCTGCTGGGTCCATCAATTACCACAGTTTACACAAAAATACAGAGCAGCTCATCTAAAACAAGGGTGGCACCTCAACTCTGAAAGATCTCTATTAAAAAGCTTTTGGAGGGTCATGCATCTTCTCTGAGCTTTATTAAATTTAACTTCACAATCTCTACCCATAAATCACATTATTTGAAGTATGAACTGTCTTTCATAACATCTGACACAGAAAGGAATCATTCTTCTGTAAATGCTCATAAAAGCTTGGAGGATAACAGTGTTTTTCAGGAGGGGTTTGGGCTTGATTTATAACCTTCATTTTAGAAATGAAATTGAATAAATGCTTAAAGATATGTGAGCCTTGTAGCCAGTTTTATCACCATTGGAAGCATTTCTGATAATAGAGATTCCTTCTTAAAATAAAAAGCAGCACTGTTTTTTATCAGAACTTTGTTTTTGTCATGGGTATTTCAAGCATAGATGAATGGGCTGTAGAAATGTCAGCTGCCRACTTGAGACTGTTCCTCTCTAATATTCAGCATTTTATCCATGCTCATCCTTCCCCAGATATCTGAGTATTCCCTGGGCAAGATGAGTGGTGTTCCTGAAATTATTTGTATTTTAAATGCATTTCTTACAACGTGCATTAGGACTGAACCAAGAGCCAGGTTTCTTGCTACATACCAGTCAGGTAGATTTGGTATCATGTGGCTTGTCTTTGAAAGTGAGGAGATGTTTGAACATTCACTGGCTGCCCTGAAAACAATGTGGCTTACCACAAAAGATGATTTTTTTTTGTAAAAAAATATCAAAGTGGTTTCAATGCTGAAGTGGAACTGAAAAAACTGAAAAAAATTGGACCATTTCTCAAAAGTTTTGAAACATCGAAGTGATCTTATTTTTAATAGCCTTGCTAAAGTTTTTTAACTTGTCAGAACATTTTCTAAAGCAACAGAGAGAGAAGGATAACCATTAACTTTTGTCAGCTTAYAGGTCATTTTCCCAGAATAGACAAAACAATACATTTGATTTATTTAACAAGCCATGAAGAAGTGTTAGCTGCATTCTCAGAGCAGCTATATACTGTGATGTATTTTTCTTTCGACTCATCAGTCCATGGAAACTGCATGTATTCCATGGCAGACCCAAAAAAGTACAT